AAACTTGCGAAAAATGGATCAACGTAGTTGCTAAAAACAAGTAGCAACATCCAAGCATTACCTGTGAGCATAGCAATAAATAAAAAAGAGCATAGCAAAAAAAAAAACAAATTGAACAACAAACAAACATTCGCGAATATATAACTATTCGTATGTAAAAACGTATATATTTGGTATGTACGTAAGTATATATGTAGAAGCAACAATACCGTGTTGCCGCAATCATCAACACTATCGACTAGTTACCGGCCTCCAACAGATTTTTAGCATCTGGCGGAATCAAGTATAGCAACAACTTTTGTCGCGACTGACTTTTAACACATCTAGATAGGTATACAAATGTATGCATAGTAGATATGGACCAACAAACATACAAAATTTAGTGCAATTTTAAAAATTTCATTGATTCTACTGTGCGCACTAGTCACCGGGCGCATGCACATTGGGGTTTAGGTCTTAGAATCCTCACAAAGTGTTGGAAAGGTAGTTAAGAATAAAATTTCTCACAGAACTACTTATGTATGTAACCCTATTATTTAAATTTCAAATAAAATTCAGAAGGCTTTCTATTTTGCTTAATTATGAAATATTGATCAGTGAACGTAACATCAATCATAGAACAATATAAAAAAAAATCATGTGGGAAATAAAATTATTGCTCAGTCGCACAGTGTGAATAAGTTTTGTGTGGATCCTTCTTTCTCTATTAATCCTATTACCACATTAATTGTGAACCCGCATGGCATTAAAACGTCAAAATTGAATTTGGCATTTTAATTAAGTACGTGCAACGCTCTTCAAAAACCGAACGGATATTCCAAATGTTAGTCACAATTGCATACATACATATAAGCGATTCGTGGGCCAAATTTCATGTAAATCCTGGCAACCGCTTCTGAGTGGAGAGAAGTCTCGCAAGGTATGGTTTCTCTCATTTTAAATCACCCTGTACCGATAAAAAAAAAACTCTCACTTCAAAAGAAACGTTAGTTCACATCTACTTGCACGTCTCTTTATAAAAAATGTCTTCGCGTTGAGATGGACACGACTTTTCGAATAGGTGGCAACCTTAATCAAATGTATTTTCAAACTACAGCTTTCATAAAACTTCTTCGCTTGACACTCTTCAAATATTCAAAGATACTGATTTTTTTTTTTAAATATTCACAATTTTTTTCATTGTTTCAATATTTGAATGTTTTTTTTGTTATTTTTTATATAATCATTGTCCAAGCTCCAGGTAAAAATCTCAGCGTATATAACGTCAATTGACTCTATTTCCCATAGTGGTGCAAAACAAAATGAACCGACGTAACTACCTTTTCAAAAGGTAAATAAATGCAACAACAATTTAGAAGTAAAGTAAATGATGCTATTTCCTAATTCAAATGGAAATAACGCCAACAATGCTTAAAGTATGCCGAATAAAAGAAAAAAATGTCGTACGTGAGATATGAATGTTACAATAAACAATGCCCCGTAGGTGTTGCCATGGATGGAGGTTATTGCCCAATCCTCAGTGCTATTAATCAACACAATCATTAACCACCACCAATTGATTTTATTAAAAAACTTAAAATTGCGAAATAATTAAAACACCCCTGCGAAAAACCAAACCATAGACCAGGTATTCACAATACGCCAAATCTTGGAAAGGACCCGGGAGAAAAGGGTCGACACTCATCACCTATTTTCACCACCTCCCTCTCGGAAGAGTTTAGGTTCAGTTATTCATGTTTTTCTTATACCAATCCAGCATCAAAAATCTAATTATTACAATTCCGTTAAATTTATTATTATCATTTTTTTTTAATATTTTTATGTTAATTTTTGTTTTGTTTTGTCATTTGAGGGCATTTTTTTTTTAAATCATCTTTAAGAACTAATTTTATTCACAAAAACCTCCATATTTGGAGGTATTTTCAAATCGGTCCAGCTCGCTTACATCTTAATATTTTTCGGAAATATTTTGGTGGACGTCTGAAAATATAATAGATTTTATAAATCCAATGGAAAAACAGTACCGATTTTTTTTTGGGTAATGATGCAGTCTAGTGTACATACATATCTTGTGCATAAGTTAACTAAATTCGACCTTTCAAAGTATTTTCAAACTGAAATCGTTTAAATCTCTTTCGTATGAGTTTTCAAACATGTAACGATTCGGGATTTCTACTTCTAATCGTACGAAAAGGCGCAGATCGTTAAGCATGGCTGATTTGTGGAGGATGCTCCAGTAAGGGGACGGAGAGGAGTTAAAACATCTCATCACCAATTAGCATGGTTGCAATCCCGAATGGCAAGAAAGGCTTTTTATGTGAAGTTTTTTCATGTCAGAAGTAAACACGAAGTTCTGTCATTGAAAAATGTTTTTGAATATTGCTCGAATCGAATTAGGGTCCTAGCGGTAGAATATCACATCGCCCCTCCCTATCCAAAAATTATACATACACCCCTGTCGATACAATCGATGAACTAAATGAGGCGAATAGATGAATGAACAAATGAGTGAACCAATTTAAACTCAAGCAACGCAGCGAAAATATGTACATAAATATGTATATGGGAACGCATTCCTGGGAAGTTTAATGATGTTAAGTCACTGAAAGTTCCCTCATCATATACATACATATGCATACACAATGGAACTATTTCTACATAGTCGGCGGTTCAAACACAGTACGCACCTCTTGTAATCAGTGATGTTGCGAATATTTGTTCGTTATGCGTATTTGGAGTTATTTTTAAATCGATCCAGCTCGCTTAGATCTTAATATTTTTCCAACAAATTTTGGTGCACGTCTTAAAATATAATATATTTAACAATTCCAATGGAAAGACAGTACCGATTTTTTTATGGGGGGCGATGCAGTCTAATATACATACATAAAGCATCTTCAGTTTAAATAAACCTCTTTTCAAATTAAGCGAAACCCTTTCCAAATATAATAAAACCTTTTTCAGATGAAGCGAAACCCTTTTCAAATTAAATGAAACCTTTTTTAAATTGAATAAAACTTCCTTCTTTCGTTTACTGAGAATTCGCTGTTACGCGTTGCTTTTCTTTACGGTCAAGGCATATTAGATTACTTATATGGAGCAGTAAAAAACTGCTTTGATTTTTTCGAAATTGTTTATATTATATTTGGACTTTAAATTGCCAAAATTTGTATATCTTTTCACATTCATATTCACCAATAATTTGTATCACATTCTACTATGAATTCGACCCATTTCCAAGTATTTATGCAGGAGCTATTAAATAAAATTGAATGTAGATCAGAGCCATGGGCGCAGCCAGAATTAGAATAAAGGGTGTGGGAGGGCTGGGAGGCTCGAAGTTGTTCGGGCACGGAATTTTAATTTCGAAAATGTCTTTTCTATGGTTTTCAACAAAGAAGAGTATGCTGGCAAAAATTTCGGTAAGCATCCATTATTATCCCCATATCTCTTACTTCTTGGGATATATGAATTCTGGCATTATTATCCTTAACTAAAAATTAATTTTGTAACTCTGGTCATGGGCGTGGCCAGGTTGGAAGAGTGCTCGAGCGCCCTTACTTGCAAGTTGTCCCATGGGCGTAGCCGGAATGAAGTTTATGAGGGTGCTCGAGGATAATGCCAGAATTTATAAATCCAAAGAAATAAGAAATATGGTGGATAATAATGGATGCTTACCGAAATTTTTGTCAGCATACTCTCCTATGTTAAACCCTATATAAAAGGCATTTTCGAAGATCAAATTCCATTCCCGATCATTATTCAGAGAAACAACATACAAAGTTAGTGTAATTGAAGAATGTAGGCACAAAAGGACTGTGCGAACGATGTTATGGACGTGATCATCCAAAATCCGAAAGAGCGAATAGACAAGGTTTTCACTAATTTTATAAACTATGACTTAGAGCCGATTGCATCATGTCGGGTTAACACTTTCTCCGAGTTAAACATCATAACCAGCGTTATGGACTTCCTGTTATAAGCATGGCGTCGATAACGATGTGTAACTAGGGGTAAGTGTTATGCAGCGTTTTTGCTGCTTTTAAAATGCAACGTTTAGCACTTTCGAACATATTTTTTCAAAGAGTGTTCATGCTATCGCATTTAGCAACTGTACATTTACGCGAGTTCGATATCGTATGCTTTTGACAAACAGACGTGTTCCAGTCGCTTATTCAGATCCGTATATTTTACGATCAATTCGCACGCAGAAGAAAATGTGCAAAAAACCCTACTGAAAAGGAAAAAACAAATTTTAAACCAAACATTCAATACAAAAACTTGAATTGTTTTAACCATAACCGAACATTTGTTTGTGTATATATTCATTTGTCGGTGCTGTCAATTAAAATTTCCTCACTTAATTAGGAAACAAAACAAACAGAGTTGATCACAAATGGATCCAGATTTCTATCAGCATCACATCGATGTTGAATTTGCGTAACTTTTCTTTATCCAAATAATGTAAAATAATAAATGAAATCTCGATCGGCGATCACTGAAACGCAGCTAGCCACTGTATACCCGAAAAAGCAATGTTGCCACTTTTTCTCATTAAACCATGTTCGAATCGTGGAAATTTTGGAAGATCACAGGGTTGCTTTTAGCATTTAGATTCTTAATGCAAAAATGGAGTTGCATTTAGGTGACGAATTTTGTATGGATAAATGTACATTTAGAGTAGCATTTAGAGCTAAATGTGCATTTACGCGTAAGCAAAAACAGCCCATTAGCTAGACATGGTGCAAATGGCTCTTAATAGGTTAAGTTGATTTCCTGTTCCTAAACTCAATAATGTTTAATACTTAATTTAAGAATGTTTCATTTCATTTGAAAAAAAGTTACATTTAATTTGAATAAAGTTTCATTGAGGGCGTGTGTGAATCGGTAACAAAGTTCTATGGGGAATGCTGTTGAATAATATATTTTTACTATGGTGAGACAGTTTTGCCAATCTTCTGTGTGAAAATTTTTTGACAGCAGTAAAATTTTGATAACCGCAGATTTAGGCGGAACAAAATATTACAAATTGAATGAAATTAATATTTTAAGAAAAGATCTACCATCGTTGATTGCAATTCATCAATTTCAGCTTTTATTTAACGAAAAATTACACCCTCAACAATCTTTGCGATTGTAAAAGTGTTCTATGCATTTATCAAAAAATTTCACTAGCCCCATGAGCTACTGAAGTTTTATTCACCTCATAGTTGTCAAAAATTTACTCGCCGCGAACTTTGTTACCGATTCACACACGCTCTGAATCTGAAAAAGGTGTAATTTAATTTGAAAATGGTTTCGCTTAACTTGAAAAAGGTTTCATATAATTTGAAAAAGGTTTTCACCGTTTTCAAATTAAGTGAAACTTTTTTTTTATTAAGCGTGTATATATCTGATAAAGTAACTTAAGGGTTGTCGAAAAAAGCTCGATGCAAAAAAATACTGAAATACTGAAGTCAACATATGTATTGTGTGGCCGAAAGAAGTTCATAATACTAGTGGCAGAAATAAAAGAAACGCCTTATTTCAACCAGTTTAGTCTATATTTCTTTTCGTTATTTAATATTTAAATTTTTTACAAAAGTCTACCTCAATTTAGATGTAATTAACTGCATTTAAAATTTATGAAAATTTGTCAAAATTTCAAACTTTTTACTCTCTAAAGTAAGATAAAATGCAAGTTTCATGCAGTTACAAAATATCGTTGATTTTTGGGAATTTTTTAAACGATACTGGGCATTTTCTTCATATAAACAAATGGTTGAACATACTCTGTACGAAGGAAAATGCATGACACTGCCAGCAAAAAAAAATGCAAAAATCAACATTACTTTTATGGTGATTTTGTTTCTTCCAAAAAATGTTGATGTTACACTCAACCCTATAAAAATACAAGTTTTTCCCTTCTTCTTCATATCTGGCTCAAGCATTTCATAATACTGTCGTTTTAAACAACCATCTGATTTTCAGGGCAACCATCTGCCCTGACAAAGCTTCACAGGGCAGAGAATGTGCATTTTTTGCCTTACAAGGGTGTGACATTTTAAGAAACGAACAAAAATTTGTCTCACCTTTAATTTGGAATTGTACACCACAAGAGAAAGGGACAATCAAAAGGCGACATTTTTTGGCAGAAACGAAATCACCATTAATCATTTGAAACTTGCACATTAGCCTCCTGTAATTTAATGGGCTATACTTATAAAATTGCGTACCTAGAATTTTTCTAAACAATTCCGAGTAAAAAATTGAAACAGGTTGAAACAAACAAATTTCAAAACACACCAAAATAAATATTGCAAAATTTCAAGGATAAAATTTTTAAGGACATTTTCAATACCTTATGCACTAAAAAATTTAATCTGTTCTTTCTCTATAGCATTTTTTCTTTAATCTGATACCCATGCTGTTTTCCTAAAGTACATTGCACAAAAATTTTCAAACCATTTTCTGAATTACTCATTCTATTCAATTTTCAAAGTCCTTTTAAAAAATTCTGATTTCACAGAGAAAAACTAAAAACGCAATTTTACTGTATGTGGCTTCGCGAGTATATTGATTTGTTGTGTGTAAAATTGCCTGTCGCACGGTGTTATGTGTATGTATAATTAGCTAGAGATTTATAAAAAAATATTAAATATTAAATAATCAAAAGAAATATAGCAAAAACTGGTCAACATAAGCCTTTTTTCTTATTGCCACCATTGCAAATTACAAATCCCGAATATCCCGGGACTCTTAGCAAATAATCCTAGGATTTTCGGCTCTTAAAAAAGGCCGGGATCCCGGGATACCGGGATTAACGTCCCTAATAGTAACTGATGAAGTAAGTGTACATGACGTCTTGAGACCATATTGGCATAGGTGGAGCCTAGGTCAAAATGTACTTTAACGATTATAAATGCTTATATGCTTTTTCCTACAAATCTGCATTAAAAAATTCCTTCAATTGTAATAAAATTTCATCCTTTTAGAATCTTAATTTCACAGTATTCTTAATTTTAAGAAAAAAGAACACATGGATGCAAAACTTGTAATCAGATATTGGATAAGCAATACAATTATTATAATTACATAATTGTTTTTCAACAAAACTATGTAAACTTACAGCATTTAAAATTACATTTGTGAGAATATTAAAATGATAAAAAATTAAACATCCACTTACCTATGCGTGCCTTTTAACTTATACGCGATTGCAGATTATTGCGTAAATTAAGCAACACTATGCGATTGGCCTTAAATTGCAAATTGCAAAAAAAAAAATATGTGAATTGCTTTACATTTAACAATTCCTTGCTTTTTCACCAAACACGCGTACCTATTACCATTTCAGTAGAGAATACCATTCTTGAGTGGTTAAAACATCGACTTTCAAAACTATTCAACCGTAGCTAAGCGTAGAAACAATAAAACTGACTCATTAGTTAGCCATAAAACGGCTTGCCGCAGTTAACCAAGTAGAGTAAATCGCGAGTGCGAAGAAAAAAAATAATTGCAACGTTTTTTTTTTTCTTCAATCAACTTCATTTCTGGACAGTTGGACTGACTTTGTCGTATTTGAAGTGTCGCTTTTGACGCGCAAATGCACATACATATATGAGTCAACAAATAAAATAAACACTTGCATCTTTGTGCCGTATAAGTTAAAATGTATGTATGGTTGCGGGGAAAAATGATTAATTGTGGCTATTTTAGCCGCCAGCATATTTTGCAATGCCGAAACTAAGGCATTTTATTTGGAAACAAAGTAACAAATTTAGGCGCCAACGCTTGGCCTCGTTATCGTGCTTAATTACAAGCACATTCATGTGTAAACACGTAGTAAATCTGAACATAGGCATACTTTTGAAAACTACTTGTTACAATTAAATTACCAATAAATACATATTAATTAAGTGTGGGTCCACTTGCATTGTATTTTGGCAATTAAGTTATTAACAAAGCACGAGTGACAGACACTTCAAAATGCTTTGCTGCGTGATGGTTTCATTAGCTGATTGGCTCAATCGATGATCGATAAGAAAAGGCACACAAGACAATAATTACCATCAAATAAATATTTAGTAAAAAGTTTAAGTTCAGGCGAAACTAAATTTTATATACCCAGTGCACGTATTAAATGTAGTTATTTCACCTTTCTGTAAACAACATTATAGCAAGTAGTAGTATAGTTTTTCTGCATTTGAGACATTTTCGATAATATGCTCAATTAGAATTAATAAAATAAATGAATCTAGATTGATAGAAACCGATAAATTGGTTACGTAGATTCACTAATGTTGTCATAGATGGGCGGTTCCAAGCCCATTTTCCAAAAATCCACAATAATCTTATTTTTAGTTAAGAGATTGTTGTAAGTATTAACTTGTAATAAATTAGTGTCTCTAGCTATTGATATATCGGAGTTTTCGTATTTCTGTAATTTACCGTTATATGGGAAGTGGGCGTAACTTTGGTCCGATTTCAAAAATTTTCAACACAGATATACATACATATACATATATTTTTTACCACCGCGTCGAGTTTTGTGAATATTGATAAATCGGTTATCGAGATGCACATATGTGTCCTAGACCTCCTCTAACATGGAGCGACATGTTTTTTTTATTGAAAATACGCAAAAATGTAACGTATCAAAAAAGGGATGTTATATCTTTTAAAGATATTACAGACTTTCGGGTACCGGAAGTGCACTATTTTATGCGGAAGTCCATTCCATTCGTTTTTCAATAAAAATATATTGATCAATTTTAGAAGTAGTGGAAGTGCGAAGATCATATCCAGGCGAAACCCTTAAGATAGAGTATCCCTGATTTGGTAGTTTTCAATAAAAAAAAAAACAAATTCCCCTCGGTTTTAGAGGGGTGGACGAGCGGTCTAGAAGACCCTATATACTTATAAGTGGGCAGTGCCATGCCCATTTTCTCATTTACTACCAAGAAATTATTATAAAAATCGATTGAGTGAAATGGCTTCGGTGGTTACGAATTTATAGTAGTTTTCATGTTTTTGTTATTAGGACCCCCCTAGATAGAAATAGAGCTTTTATATAGGTGAGCCACGCCTATTTTCTAAAAGTTTCATATTTTTTTATTTTATGCCAAAATTCCATTTTGCATTGCAACTTACAACAACCTCTACCTCTAATACCGTTCGATTTCGGCAACTTCCAATACCAACCGAAGTTTTTGCTCGAGTTATCGTGTACACGGACGGACAGACGAACATGGCTTAATCGACTTCTATCTTCATTCTGATAGTATATTAGTCCTTTACTCCGTTACAAACAACCGTTATGCGAACAAAGTTATAATAAGTACCCTTGTGCGCAAGTTCACTCGGGTATAAACATGCTTCAACAATTGTCAGCCTGTGTTTGACGGCAATTGCTTAGGCTTCGACTGGTCGAAAATCTCACTCAGTCACAAAATCTGAAATGATTATCCACAAATAATTGACTGTACAAATGCAAACTGCAACTAGATTTTCGTCACATGTACATACCCACAAACATAGCAATACACACCTACATACATATGCACACACATATTTTAATGTGCCATTATAGCTCAGTCATTAAATCAATAAAAACGTAAAATTTTCGCATTCATTCATTCATTTTACAGTCATTTGTGCCGCATTACAGTTGTAAACAACTTAATCAATCAGCCAGCAATGATGAAGCGATTTACAACTACCGCAACGCTCTTGATCTTTGCTATCGTGACTGCCGTCTGGCTACCGTGGACTGCCGTTAGTGCGTTGGCTGAGTCCTCAACCTTGCAAACGGCTAAGCAGTGGAAGCTGTTCACCTATAATTTCTTACCGCATGCACCCATACACGATTTGAACTTCTACAATCCATCCAATGTGCTGGCAACCGGTATTACTGTTTCCCACGACCGGATTTTCATTGCGACGCCGAAATTGTTCTCTGGCGTTTCGTCGACCGTGAATGTCGTCTCGAAGGCGGAGTTCGGCGATTCACCAGTGCTTCAGGTTAGTAGACAAAATCTCCAATATTTAGGCAGAGTTGGAAAAAGGTCCAAAATATGCAAACACATACTTGCACGTTTTTGCTCTTTCTATACTCACACATACTTATAAGTATTTTTGCATGCACTTCCTTCTAGGCTTACCCAGATTGGTCATTTTCAACAACCGGTCGCACAGATTTCAATTGTAGCGACTTAGTTTTGGTGTCTGTCTACCGCATGCGTATCGATTCGTGCAATCGTTTATGGCTTTTAGATGCTGGTGTTTCACGCTCACTCGAAGACTTTGAAGTCACTTGTCCGCCAAAGATTTTAATTATCGACTTGAATACCGATCAAGTGGTGCGACGTGTAGACTTTCCTAAGGAGATACTACGTGGCGAGTCGTTGTTCACAAATCTGGTCATTGACGAGACGACAGCGAAACATGGCAACTGCGATGATGTGTTTGCGTACATAACGGACACTGTGGAGCCTGGTAAGTAAAGCAGTTAATGAATGCTTAAGGAAATGTTAGTAATGGACAGTGAAAAAGCGGCTTATAAAATATGGCAAAAAGTACTAATTGTGCTCCGATTTCGGTTTAATTTTTCAGCTGTAGTATATTTTCTTAGGGGGTGTTTCACTAGGCGGTGGCAGGGGTAAATGTTATCAGATTTTTATCAAATTCGATTTGCAGCTTAGCTTTAGCCATAAAGACTTATAACTTTTTTAAAATAAATAAAAACATAACCACTCTATACTTTTCAGGGATCATCGTTTACGATAGCGGACGCGATGTTACCTGGCGCGTTTCACATCCTGCTATGTATCCCGATCCAGATTTTGCGCAGTCAGAGATTCTCAACGATCGCTTCATACTAATGGATGGCGTGGTGGGTTTAGCATTCGATCACAAATTGGGTGTGGTATACTTCCAGCCGCTGGCAACTGATCGGTATGACATAAAAATAAAAAACTCACAATAATTAATTTCTAAACTTCATTTCTCTCACTCCACTTCTCATCTACTTCACAGCTTATTCTCCGTCACCAAAGAAGTATTGCGTGCCGGCCCGCTTGCGCAAAATGAAATACTTAAAGTGAAATTGGTCGGTAAGAAATCTTCACAAGGCATCGGACTCACCGTATCGCCAGTGGATGGTAGCATTATTTTTAGTCCACTTACTGAAACTGCAATCGCTGCATGGAATCCACGCAATAACAATCAACTTGTGCTCGCTCACGATCGCGAACGCCTGCAATTTGTTGCCGATATGGCAACAACACCACATGAGCCAGGCGTTATCTATGCTGTTTCATCGAAATTCCATCGATTCTTTTTGAAAAATCTCAACCACAATGAAGTGAATAATCGTGTGCTTCGTTTGCGCTTAACCAACGATTACGTGTCAACACACGGCGCTATCGGCGCTCAGCCCTATGATTTACATACGATCAACAAAGCTTCCAACTACTTCGGAAGTCCATATAAAAAAAATTCTTTGGATCAAACGAATGTTATTGGTTACGGCAATTACATCTACAATAGTTTACATGCTGGGGTTAAGTCCCAACCGCCCTATAACTTCGAAACTGTCGGGTTAATCAATTTCTCTCTGCGAAACCCCTTCACTGCTCTTAATGCGGGCGAAGCTTTTCCGCCGCGCAAAGAACAACGTTCGAATGATCAACGGCCTTCGTATTTGGATAGCTTGAATGGTGAGCGAAGCACTGCTAGTCCAGATCTACGTTACCACATACCAACAACAACATTATCTCCAATACTTCACAGCGGTCAGCACACGTCGATTCCATTCAGTGTCGAATACGATCTGCCGCGTCGTATACGTAATGCTGAAGGACAAGAAATAATAAAAGGGGCCATAGAGTCAACCACTGTGAAGCAGTGATGGCGAGCGGTATTGAGGTTGGTACACTGGCGTGCCTTAGTAACTACTTAGCATTTATTCGGCTGTCGAAAACAGTGTGTACTATGTGCAACTGTTTAGAAGCATAACTTGTGTATTGTGTGTGCATACATACGTTGTTATACTCATATACATATGTACATATAAGTATTCAAAATTGGTAGTTCATTTAGTAAAACTTATTTTTGTATGTAAATGTATCTACGTATACAAATACAAAGAAGTGTATATAAGTAAATAAGAAGTTGTTTATTCTAAGTGTGCATAAATTGATTCGAGTTAATTCAATCACAAACAATAAAAATCAGCTAATTTGTATTGTAAATAAACTAATAAAATAATTTATATACGCCAAAATTGTGTTTACAATGACTTGCAGTAGCGTAGTTATTCATTTCTGTGCTACGGAGTAACAAAATAGTTACGGTAACCATAATGCCGGATTTCCACCAGGCATTAAATGACAAAGTTAGGCATTAAAACTGCTTGCACCATTAGGTTAACAGCAATTGTCATTGAATTCGTTTCCACATGACATTTTTTAAGTGTCACACATTTTTCGTCAATACAATGCCTAGTGGAAATACTACATAATAAGTGGGCCGAAAAAATAAGCAAGAAAAATGTGTTTTAAGCGCTTAGATAAGCACCACAATATTGGCACATAAATATGCTTGCAAATATGCTCGAAAAAAAAACACACAAAAGGTTAAGTACAGTTCAATTTTTATACCCGAGCGCACTTGTGTCCAAGGGTATTTGTTCACATAACGCTTGTTTGTAACAGCCAAAACGAATCGAGAAAGATATAGACAAATGTGTACATAAATGCTCCAAACGAAAAGAGAATTTGATTACGCTATGTCTGTCTGTCCGTCCGTCTATCCGTCTGGAGCACAAATTGAGATATGTCAACGAAATTTGGTAAGTAGGTTGGTTGCTCTTTATCCAAGGTAGATTGAGATTGAAAATGGGCGAAATCGGGAGATAACCACGCCCACCACCCATATAATGTTTTTTTTGAGATATGCAAAAACTAAGATATTTCCGTAAATATTGGATCCAAATTTTTGAAAGTTGGTATTTGAAGTCGAATTTTGGCATAAAATAAGACAGTTACAAAATTTTTGGAAAATGGGAGTGGTCCCGCCCACTTATGATTAAATGCTGTATCTGTGTAGTCCCTTTACCAATGCCTAGCAAACTCGGTGAGAACTTTGCTTAGGAAACTCGGCCACTTCCCATATAACGGTAATTTGAAGAAATACATACGACAACTGCGATAAATTAGTAACTATTTAAACTAATTTACTCAAAATCGGTATATGCAAAGACCTCTTAACAGAAAATGATTTTCAGGGAAATTTTTGGAAAATAGGTGTAGCACCGCTCACTTACACTTGTGTATTTCGGTACCCGGTTTATCAATTTCTACCAAACTCGGCACGATTAGCAACCTTGGCACAAAAAAGCAATATGTTGAAAATTTTTGAAATCGGACTAAAATTACTGCCACTTAACATATAACGGTAAATTTCAGAAAGACGAAAACTCCGATCTTTCAATATCTATAGATGCCAACTTACAACAATCTTTTAACAAAACACTAGATTATTGATTTTTGTGAAGTGGACTTGGCACCACCCATTTATGACTACAGAAGTATATTNAAAATTTTTGGAAAATGGGAGTGGTCCCGCCCACTTATGATTAAATGCTGTATCTGTGTAGTCCCTTTACCAATGCCTAGCAAACTCGGTGAGAACTTTGCTTAGGAAACTCGGCCACTTCCCATATAACGGTAATTTGAAGAAATACATACGACAACTGCGATAAATTAGTAACTATTTAAACTAATTTACTCAAAATCGGTATATGCAAAGACCTCTTAACAGAAAATGATTTTCAGGGAAATTTTTGGAAAATAGGTGTAGCACCGCTCACTTACACTTGTGTATTTCGGTACCCGGTTTATCAATTTCTACCAAACTCGGCACGATTAGCAACCTTGGCACAAAAAAGCAATATCTTGAAAATTTTTGAAATCGGACTAAAATTACTGCCACTTAACATATAACGGTAAATTTCAGAAAGACGAAAACTCCGACCTTTCAATAACTAAAGATGCCAACTTACAACAATCTTTTAACAAAACACTAGATTATTGATTTTTGTGAAGTGGTCTTGGCACCACCCATTTATGACTACAGAAGTATATTTTGATAACCGCCTTACCGATTTCCACCAAATTGGGTCCAATTAATTCAATATAGCATAGCATATTATTGAAACTGTTTGACATTGGGAAAAATAAACTTCCTTAGCATGCAGTTTACTGAATGGTGAAAGGAACGGTATTTAATACGTGCGCCGGGTATACAAAGTTCGGTTTCGCCGGAACGCATACATCTTTACATGTTTTTTATTCAGTTTATTTCAAGGATTGAAAAAATAAATTAGAAACGTAGAGAGAATAGAGAAATACGATTATGCCTAGCAAACATTTTTTTTTTAACTAACTAAACCCATAAATATTTCGAGATAAGATGAGAACCTGCCTAACGTCCGAACACAAGTTTTGAGGGTAAATAAACCGCAATTACTTTAAATTTAAATTTCTACTATTTGATTCGCATAAGTACTGCTTTGAAAACCTTCCCTGAAACTATAAAATTTGTTTCACTTATTTGCCCATATCATTTAAAACTGCGTAATTTAGTGCTTTCGAGTGAAAAGGGCTAATTATTTTTTTGTTTAACGAATAACCTTTTTTGTCTTTCAAANAGCATAGCATATTATTGAAACTGTTTGACATTGGGAAAAATACTCTTCCTTATCATGCAGTTTACTGAAAGGTGAAAAAACGTTATTTAATACGTTCGCCGGGTATACAAAGTTCGGTTTCGCCGGAACGCATACATCTTTACATGTTTTTTATTCAGTTTATTTCAAGGATTGAAAAAATAAATTGGAAACGTAGAGAGAATAGAGAAATACGAATATGCCTAGCAAACATTTTTTTTTAACTAACTAAACCCATAAGTATTTCGAGATAAGACCTGCCTAACGTCCGAACACAAGTTTTGAGGGTAAATAAACCGCAATTACTTAAAATTCGAATTTCCACTATTTGGTTCGCATAAGTACTGCTTTAAAAACCTTCCCTGAAACTATACAATTTTTTTAACCTATTTGCCCATATCATTTAAAACTGCGTAATTTAGTGCTTTTGAGTGAAAAGACTAATTATTTTTTGTTTAACAAATAACTTTTTTGCCAGCTACAATTTATACGCTTTTTTGTCTTTCCAGTAAATAATTTTTATTATTGGCTCTATCAAATTAGTACTTAACGTCTAACATTAGCAACCCCTCGATTGAAATTTCATGTTTGAGAAATGCGAATTCATGTTGTTTGATTGACTTGTTTTTTGCTTTTATAATGCAAGTTTACTTTTACATTTGCAAAAAATTTTCATCATTTATCATTTTGAGNGTAAAGAATTGTTGCAAGCATCAATTTTGAATAAATTAGCTTTAATATTTACTGATTTATCGAAGATTTCGTATTTCTCTAAATTACCGTTATATGGGATGTGGGCGTGGTTATTGTCCGATTTGAAAAATTTCCGTCCATTTGGTATGTTGTAGTAAAGCCAACAACTGTGCTAAGTTTGGAAGAAATTGGTGCAGCGGTTACCAAGATATGTGAAGTTCCACACCAAAATGCTACATTTCCATCATAAATGATTTTACGTAAATTGGTAAAGTCTGTTTTTTTTTGCCGCTGGCCATTTAAGTAGGTTTAGTTTTTTAAAGCAATAATTACCTTAAATAACTTACCTTAAAAAACTACGAAACTATTCCCTTATTTGTATATTAAAATAGTTTCCCTTTTTAGCCATTACAAGTTAATTCAAAAACCAAATGTTACTTTTTGGTGCGACTGATTGGCAATGTGAGTTCATTATAAAAATGTTATGTTATGTTATCTTTCAAAAAAAAAAAATAATACTAAGGTTCGAAAAGTAAAGATGATAAAAATTAATTTAAACTTTAGGTGCACAATCAATCTCACAACAATACATACTTCTAATTGATCGTCAATTTCGAATTTTTCGATATAAAAAGAAGCCGTTTCTTCGTCCAACACTGTTTTGAAAAAATTTAAATCTTAAACATGTCGCCATCCTTTTGTTTACGACAAAGTATGCATGAAAAAGAACGTGCTTGCGTTTTTGATATATTGATGGACGGTGGCGTTGTGTTCCATAGGGTGCAATAAAGCGGGTCAAAAACTTATCTTGTTGAACTTTACTTTCTTTCTTAAAAAACAAGTGCCTTTGTTTTGCTATTACTTGCATAGCAATAATCGAACACGTCAATTTACTATTTCCCTTATGAGTACATGCCCTCTTGAATTGTAGTAATAAAGGATCTTATTTGCATATCTAAAACAACAAAAAACATAAAAATATATTCCTAAACTTTTTCCAAAACTCGCAAAAATTCAGCAAATTTTCATCAAAATTTTCAACTTTTTAGTCAGATTTTTTAGAGTATGCAGTTTTGCAGCCAATAAATTCTAGTAAAAAATGCAAGTTCGGAGTTAGTCTAAAATCGCGTTGATTTTTGAGATTTTTCTTTGTTGAAGGTGTTTTGCATTTTTTCCATATAAAGATTTTCGAAAAAAAAATTATATCCAGGAGTTACCGTTGATTTTTGGCAATTTTTTTTCATGCTCAGGGACCCACAAAACGTCACAAACAAAATAAAAAAAAGTGTGTGAAAAAGTGAGGTGATCGAATTTCGACAAATGGCGATACCAGTTTATATGAATTCTTTTATATATTCGTAATGCCACATATACCTGATATTTGTTCCTTTGCTAGGTGTTTAGCCAAGCTGTCGTAGCAATACTTATGTGTTAAAAGCTTATTATATTTATTAAAAGTTGCAATTAAAAAAAGCAATTAATTTAATTAAACGAGGCATCGTGCGCGTGCGTAAACGTAAGCAAAAATCACTCACGTGCCCACCGCCAGTCGCTACCTCTGAAAAGGATACATCGGAAATCACGCCAGTATAGCTTTTGAGATAATCATTCTTCATCAGTAAGAAAATAAAACTCAATAATATCTTTGAGCGAAAAAATAAATGTTAAGTAATAATATCTTCTTCTGAGCGAAAAAATTTAACTCAAATATCAATTATTACACTGGCCAATAGTCATTTTTTTGAGCTAGGCTAGGCATTTCTAATAGATTTTGGGTTGCTGAATTCGAATCTGCTCTCAGAATTCCACTATTAGCTAATGTTTTTTAAATATCCCAACAAGAGATGGGCAA